CAGTATTTAACTTTTTGTTATGTTGAGATTTTAATATGACCCTATATGGCTATGCAACATTGCTAATCTCACATATTAGTATTATTTTTTCTCAACTCTGTATATTAACATATTTCTTTATGCAACATGCATTAGTGGACTCTGACTTAATATAAATATATGCAACAACAATGGTCAGCCACTTAAAGTATTAACAATTTTCTTATTCAATCAATAACATATAATATATTAGTATGTCTCTGGAGTGATTATTTAGTATAATTTTTCATATTGCACTGGTTCTCACTGAAATATTTTCAAAATTCAATCCTTTTTTTTTATATCCATTTTGTTTTCTTTCAACACATTTTGTAAAATTCAACACAGATTATTTTTCTTGACATTTTTTTTTTTTAGTACAAAAATTTATAGCACAATGTTCCTTTAATCCCCTTTCTGATCTTTGTTTCTTCTTGGTTTCGTCTTTGTTTTTTCTTCTGTTTTTGGTAACTTCTTTTTTTCTATTTTTTTTTTATTTTTCTTTTTTCTCTTTTTTTTTTTTTTTTGTTTTATCCCTCATCTTCAATTTATTACAATTTTATGCCCTTCTATTTACTTTTGAAATTTTTGATTTTATACTGTTCAGAATTAGTTGTTTTAAATTGTAAAGTTCTTACTTTCTTCCTCACTTTTCCCACTATAGGTGTTTTCCATAAGTCCATATTTCTTTTCTTGTTTTGTTCTTCCTTTTCCATCACTAGCTGGATCTTTTACCTTCGGTATTCTCCGCCAAAATCTGTAGCCGAGGGTCACCGGCAGGGCCTTCACTTTGGGGTCGTGTTTGGGGAATTCATGGACTCGCTGGCGTAGTGAGCGCCCTACACGGAAACTCTCGGTTGATTGGTGTGTGTAGGATACTGGTGTATTATTATCCAGTATCCTCTTTCTTAAATGATGGTATTTTATAACACAAAAGTCCAGTGTTGATGTTATTTCATTTATTTCTTTATAGTTGATTGTAAGTTCTCAAATACAAAATAATCATATAGTCCATCCATATATTTTCACAGCTAGCACCTGAATTTTGCTTAAGTTAATTTTACTTATTTATTTTCTAAGTTAAGACTTGATGTTATATGTCCGAAATTCTATATAAGACTTTTAGATGTTATAAGTTCCGAAATTAAAATAAGACTAATTCAAAATATAAAAATCAACAATATAAATTAAGAAGGAGTTGTCATAGTGACTAAGCCTTAAGCTATATTAGCAATAAATGTGAAAGATAATCAAGTATGGCTTGTTTGATAAAAAGACTAGGAAATTGAGAATTAAGCCATAAAGTATTAAAATCAAAAGGTGATAATATTTCCTTATTGACCACTATGACATGTTTATACTAAAGTTGTAAAATTTATCAGTTGAGAATCTAAAAGTAATTTTTATCAAAATATTTATGCAACAATGAAATTCTTTTAATGATTATTAAAAATGTAAGTTATTTATGAATATTGAAATTATTGAAATTATTAATGTGTTTTATAATTAATTTTCTAAAAGCATTTTGACGAGGAAATGCTATGTTACACATAACTCAAAAAGCCTTTGAGATATCAACATGAAACTCCAGAGGTGGATAGATCTCACTCAGGAGGTGTGCAGTACACAAGAGTGATAACTCTATCTTTCATAATTTGTGAGTTATTGCCCTTTGTTATTTTTCATACTTAATTTTTTACTTGAGTGGAGCATAACTCGAAAAGTCTTTGAGATGTCAATATGAAACTTCATAGGTGGATAGATCTTATTGAGGAGGAAAGCTGTGCGCAAAAATGATAACTCCACCCTTTATAATTTTTGAGTTATTGCCTTTTGTTATTTTTCATACTTTAAATTTGGGGTCTATCTCAAAAAGTGTTGGAGGTATCAACTCGAAACTTCATAGGTTGATAGATCTCATTGAGGAGGAGTTCAGCACACATGAATGTTAACCTACCCTGCATTATTTTTCAGTTATTGCCCTTTGTTATTTTCAGCCATCAGTATTCACATAGGTTTCAAATCTGTAATCACTTCAGCCATCAGTTTTCATTACCAAAAGACCTCTTAAAATTGAATTATTCTGCTCTTCTACATATACATTCTTCCAATGGGCAAACACATTCGGAGGGAGATGGCCATGTTTACATGGCTCTTGTTTAATAGTTTTTAGTGTGAAATTTTGGGGATTTTATAATTCCCCCCATAAAAGTGAACTTATACTTCTTGTTTGATTGCATGCAGATTATATGCTTTTATTGAGTAGTTTGGTAGGTTCCTCTTGACATTTAGTGGGAAGGAAAAAATATAGAAATACTGTAGGATTGTAAAATGTCATTGAAACCCTTGTGTATAAATGTTTTATTGATAGTGTTGTAAATGCTAGAATAGAAAAGGTTCATGGACATCAAACATAAAATTGTGTTGTTACATAATTTAGGATAATTGTTTTTATAGATTCAGTTGGAAAATGTATTGAATCTACCCATGCGCCCACAACAGACCAAAATCAGTTGGCACATCTTTGCCTTTTGGCCATAGTCAGCATTGGTCACTAATTCAGTCAGGATGCATTTTAGAATTTTCCCTAGGAATGATATTGCCCAGGTTGAAAGATAGACAAGTCTGTTTAAGATATTTAGTGTGGCAAGGGTTCACAAGCCACTGAAGGAGGTCACTTCAGACTGTACAAAGATTAATTATTGGTAAATGTATCTTTTGTCATAAGAATGTTGTTGAGGATGAATACCACTAGTTAGTTGTCTGTCTGAATTGCCTAAGAATTGTTTATGACAATGGTACTGGCTCACACATCTTAGAAAATTGCAAATTATTATTATTTTGAACTGCAAAACAAACTTAAATTTAAAATTATTTTCAAAGGATATGCTATAAATTTGTATATTTAGGGCAAGTTATAAACATTATGCTATTTATAATGACTGTAAAAGTGTAATAATCATTATAATGTATACTTGATTTATTTGTAAAATGTACACTGAGTTGAGTTGCGTTAGCCTGAATTACAAAATAGCCATTAAGTGACTAGCCCGCCACTTTTCTCCTAACTGGCTATATAATACATGTTCGTCAACTGGTATACATGCTTGAGTTTTGCGTAAAGCTGTATACAGTACAATAACTTAAATGGATAATTATTATATTGAATTTTTTTTTCTAGTTATTTGGCATTTTCAGTAAATTGTCATGCTCTTCTCATTTTGTTAATTGCTACCAGTGTGTTACTAGAAGGCAAAGAACAATGTTCTGTTTAAATGCCAAATGACAAATACACCATTGCATGAATTTAAAGTTGAAGTGATATATATAATTTATATTTATATAATTATGACACTTATAAGAACAAAGCACAGGCTGGATATAAGTGGATTAATACTTGTTACTTATAAAGGAATAGGGACTTGTCAATATGTATGTCATATAACATCATACTCATAATTCTGCACTTTCAACAGGAAAGTTACCCCAAGATGGGATGTGCATTAAAGGTATATACTTATTGTTCAATTTTAACATAAAAGCCAACCACGATGGGATGTGCTTTAAAGATATATTCAGTAACTGAGCAGGCATGGTGAGGATTGTTACATATAAGTCAATATCATTGCAGTTCAGTCTGGGTCCAGGCTCATTTAATAATTTAGCTTCAACCTTTGAACCTTGCTAACTTTAATTTGTATGGACTTTAATTACATTTTTCAATCTGGACAAAACTGTTCATCATTTTAAGGGAAGATTATTTCATCATAATTATGTACTGGCTGAAAAGCAAAAGTGCAGACCATGATATGATGTTGGGGAAGTACCTCACAGTTGATCTTGTTTTCTGCACTGGTTGTGACCTTAAGTAAGATTTAGTTGCTGCCAGTAGGCCAAGAGTTAAAGCACCTGAAAAGGACAGTTTCAAGATGATTATTTATATAAAATAGTTTAGTTTAAAAGATATACTATGCTCAAATGTGATATTTGAAAATATTGATAATTGCTACAATCATGGTCTATTTGTAAGTATAGAAATATAATACATATTTTGACTTCACATGAAGTAGATTATGTTATGCTTTAAATCTTACACACTGTAAGTGGACACACTATAAATATTTAGTGTCATTAAAAATAACTGGCAGTTTTTATAAGAATGGACCAACTTCACTTGACTTGTAGTAAGGAAAATAGTTTGTATGTTCTTTTATTTGAATAAGACATTTGGTAAAAATATTACATATATTTCAATAAATATCAGAGGTCTTTAAATTACACACAATTTAAAAAAAGAGAGATTACATGTATTTATGATAACCGTGAAAGGGTGATATTTTAATTAAGTGTAAACATCCTGCAGTCTTTAGTGTGATGTCAAATTGCGTTAAATTCCTTGTTTATGAATGAGTGTCAAGTGTTAATTATGATGCTATTTCCTTTTTTTAAAAACCTCGTTTGACGTCTGCCAGCTTGCATTCCCGTAATATCACTGTATTATTTGTTGTTGTAAAGATACATGCACAATACTGTTGGTTTTATTTGTGAATTGCAACATTCTTGCGTGCAGTGCTAAAAGTAGCATTAAAATAATGGTAAATTTATATTAAATTTAGTTTTTATTTTCAATTTACTTTTGTTTATTTTGCACAATGTAACTTGATAGGGAAATGAAAAGAAGACAGACGGTTATTAACTTTTTCAAAAGGATTTAGAATTGTTTGTGGATTTAAAAGTGTATAAAGCTATAACTAAGGAAATATTTTTTTTATAAAATTCATATACAGTAGCATTATGTTGTTTCTGTAAACTAAATATGATTGATTCTTTTGTTACAATGGATTCTATGTGAACTGCAAATCAAGAAATGATTTATAGAATTTCAAGATTTTTAGCATGTCTACTAGGCTGCTGTTTTATTAATTAAGGTTTACAATTTTGTTGATGCAGGTTTAATTGTTATATTTATGTTATATTTTCAGGGTATCCACTTAGATGAGCCAGGTTCACCTGTGCAGATATCCCCAGCTAGATCTCCAGTCTTGACTGCCCCATACAAAGCTTCCTCAGGGTCAAGGTCAACAAAGTCACCTTTGAACTATTCAACAAGGTCACCAAGGTCAGGAGGAGATGTTGTAAGCATGAGGCATGGGGTCACTGTAACAAAAGCCCGCCACAATGATGTAGACGATGATAACATTTTAATGGTCAAAAAACCTTCTGTTAAATATAGTATGGCTAGCCCAGTGTCACAAAGAAGTTTAACAGCTGTGACAAAACAAACTGAAGGTTTGAAGTTAAATGAACCTTGTGATTTGACTAAGAAACAAGAGGAGTATTATATTCCAAAATTCAGCAAAAATAGCAGAGGTGGAAATAGACCACGACAAAGTTTACCTATAACAGTTAGACTAAGTGTTGACGAGGATGAAGGTCTAGATGTAGGGGACAGTCACTCAGACCTGTATACAGCTGACTCACATGACGATGGTGAGGAGGGTAAATTCAGTTTATTTTTATTTTTGTGCAATTTTTTTATTATTTGTATTTTTGTTGCATTTTCTTCAATGGATTCTATGTGAACTGCAAATCAAGAAATGATTTATAGATTTTCAAGATTTTTAGCATGTCTACTAGGCTGTTGTTTTATTAATTAAGGTTTACAGTTTTGTTGATGCAGGTTTAATCGTTATATTTATGTTATATTTTCAGGGTATCCACTTAGATGAGCCAGGTTCACCTGTGCAGATATCCCCAGCTAGATCTCCAGTCTTGACTGCCCCATACAAAGCTTCCTCAGGGTCAAGGTCAACAAAGTCACCTTTGAACTATTCAACAAGGTCACCAAGGTCAGGAGGAGATGTTGTAAGCATGAGGCATGGGGTCACTGTAACAAAAGCCCGCCACAATGATGTAGATGATGATAACATTTTAATGGTCAAAAAACCTTCTGTTAAATATAGTATGGCTAGCCCAGTGTCACAAAGAAGTTTAACAGCTGTGACAAAACAAACTGAAGGTTTGAAGTTAAATGAACCTTGTGATTTGACTAAGAAACAAGAGGAGTATTATATTCCAAAATTCAGCAAAAATAGCAGAGGTGGAAATAGACCACGACAAAGTTTACCTATAACAGTGAGACTTAGTGTTGACGAGGATGAAGGTCTAGATGTAGGGGACAGTCATCCGGACCTGTATACAGCTGACTCACATGACGATGGTGAGGAGGGTAATCATAATAAACCAAAGACAAACAAGCATATGGAAGTGGACAAAGACCTTTTACGTGTAGAAACTGAAGAATCTTCAGTGGAAGATTCGGATACTGACAATGTAGAATTCACTCTCAGCAGCGAAGCTGAGGGTCCAAGTACAGAGCAAATAAAATTGTCAAAAGAAAAAAGCTCAAAAAAGAAGAGAAAGTTAAAGAGTTTATTACCAGCATTAAAGCGAAGTCAAAGTCTGGGATGTGACACTAACAAAGTAAATGAAGAATCAGGGATACAAAAGCATGATGATGAAGAGCATCAAATAAGGGTAAGTTAGTATGAATAAGGTGATTTTGCACTTATAACCTTCTGCCTAATCTAATGAGTTGTTGCTGCTTTGACTTTGGAACATTCCCTTTGAGTATTAAGCGATTTCAATTCTAAAAACACAATCAGAATTTGAGCTTCCAATAGGATATAGCCTGGTCAGAGTTTTGCGCACAGATGTGCAGACTGGCCTAGCTCTAGTTATGGGCAAAGTTTACTTTTAATAAACATAGCAACATAGCAAAATGAAATCATTTGAGAACAATGCATCCAAGATTTCTATCGTTGTGATTAAAAATGTTCTGCAGATGGATGACTATAAAAGACCGTAGAAACTTTTTCATTACACATACATAGCTTGTGTTGTAGTCATTGCCCACCAGTTGACTATTACTATGTATGGCATTAGGATCAATTGACCTTGTCAAAGTGACTGAGTATTGTCAAACAGAGTTATTTTACACTCTCAGGTACATTCATCCTCCTCAACTGTCTCTAAATAATGCAAGTTGGTAAGCTAGTATTTGAGGGAAAGGACAAAAGCCCTCCTGGTCAAAAACGCTCCCATCCAAAAATGACAAGGCCGACAAAAGCCCTCCTGTGAAAATGACAGGGCGAATAAAAGCCCTCCGATGAAAATGACTGGGCGGACATAAGCCCTCATGTGAAATTAACAAAGCAAACAAAAGCCCTCCTGCATCAAATACATATATATATGTTGAATTGTTTGTGTAGATGTTAAGTATTATAAGGATAAATAAAACAACTTTATATTAAATTACTATGAAATTGCAATGGATATGTGACATCATATAATCTTAAGTTTTTATCCCTCTCTCTCATTGTTAAAATTTACTAGCTAGAATCCCATTAATCTTTGCCACAAGCATAGGGTTGAGTTCAGCCTGCACATCCTTTGGGTCTAACAGGCACAATTCTGTTGGTTAAGTAATTTTGATTTTTTATTGTGATATCCCCAAAATTGATAATGGAAAGTTCCAAAAATATAAGCTTGATAAGTTCATTTGAGAAATTCAGCCGGTTAAGGATATAATGACCCCCAATTCCCCCATCTATTGATCTATCATCTATCACTTTCACAATGCTATATTGTTGTATTGTGAAATTGGTTTTCATGGGAGACAACTGTAACATATAAATGCTGTAGGTAAGTTTTATAACACAGTAGTCTCCCTGCATATTATGTGTGAAAGACTGGCATAAGATTTCTAAATTCAGATTGTAGGTATTTTGCTAGACTTGCTTATAATAAATTCTTTTGAACACAAGGCTCTATATAATGGTAAGCCTGTAGGATTTTTGGCTGTGTAGTATATCTCTCTTTCAAACATTGTGGTCCTTTACATAATCCTGCCTGGGCCAAATACTTCTCAAGATTGGCCCTTATGGGTCACTTTGTTAACATAGACCTACAAGTTTATATTAAAGCACATTTAGATCAAGCTCTTCTCAAGAACTGAATTTTCTAGAGCTTCAATACATGGCATTTTATACTGTTTAGAGGCATTATGCTTGTATAGGTTTATAATATTATGGGATACATTATTATGTAAGCTGAGTTATAGAGGGTTTTAAGGCCTGCACTCCCAATAATTGAGCCGCCTCATGACAAAACCAACATCATGGGTTTGCGACCAGCATGGATCCAGACCAGCCTGCGCATCCGCGCAGTCTAATCAGGATCCATGCTGTACGCTATCAGTTTCTCTATTTGTTATAGGGTCTGTAAGCGAACAGCATGGATCCTGATCATGCAGACTGCGCGGATGCATGCTGGTCGCAAACCCATTATGTTGGTTTTGTTGTGACGCGGCTTAAATCTTGTTTGCTCCACATTGTCAGAGGTGCATTTTGTCACATATTTAGTGTGTTATACAATAAATATGTTCAGGGGATCATTAGAAATTGCAGGTAGAAAGATAGATTATTTTTATTTAACAACTGTAATAAAACAAAGAAAAGGGATAGGCCAAGCCAATGTCTTCAGGGAGCTTTGCCACTGTTTATTAACATTCCATGAGTCATGACCCTATGGTCAAATTGTCCAAACCAAGTGTGACCCAATGACCTACTACATTGAAAAATTATTACTTTTTCTAGCAATGGATCCCAGGCAAGTGATATCTCTAAACAAGGCCATCATGACTCTCTTGTTTTATATATCCATTGGGTGAAAATAATCAAATGACACACCTTTGAGCTGGTTTATGGTCATGCGGAAGAGGCAAACAAGCCTTTTATTTTCAGCCCATTCATTATCATTTACATTAACAGTAGTCTACAAGCTGTATATAGGAATATGTTTTTCACTTTTTCTAAGCAGAAAAAATAAATCATTCCTAGTGAGTCACAGAAATTAGCACCTGTCCAAGTGGTCTCTATATAAAAGATGGAGATCTTAATGCACGGGCCATTCTTTCTAAAGATTTTTACTGACAAGGACCAATTTATTTGTAAAATGTTCAAGATGTGGTGTTGCTTTATAAACAGGGTGTTTCGAAAGGTATTCATTTTTCTCAAATTTATTGACAGTTTTGTTTTTGAATTTATTTAATATTTTCAGGTTAATCAAATTAATGATTCGTTTTGTTATTGTTACTGATAAATTTAAATTCAAGTGTCTTCTTGATGATCGATTTTGAATAAAAGAAGTTTTTGAAAAACTTTTTTTATGACAGATTTTGAATAAATGTGACTATTGTTGATAGATTTTGAATAAAAAGTGATTTTTTAATGAAAGTTTTGAAAAATAAGGACATTTTGATGATATTTTATATTAGAGTGATTTTTTGATGATAAATGAAATTGCAACTTTCATAATAATTTTTAAGTATGAATGTAAATTTGGTACATGAAAATACATGTTTTTTTAGTTATTCCTTTCCAAAATAAGATTCATATTTAATATGCAAGAAAAAGAATCGAATACCGGCTGTTACACCATAGACGGGAATATTTAGCTCTTTGGTAACTACTGAGCAAAAACTGCTGTAAACAGTTGCCTTAGAGCTAGATAATCCTGGTCTGTACAGGTATCCGGAGTAAGATCCTTATAATATTTCACAGTAAATCATGCACGAAGAATGCCTTTGCATGTTTACCAATATTTCAGAAATCGAAATAAAATTTAAATATTTTTACGTTCAGGAAAAGTCACACGAGGAGAAGGATATAAGGAGAATGATTCACAAAACGTGCAGCGCAGATGCGGCCATGATGGCAAACGAAGTTCTTCCAATCGATCCTCAAGAGTTCATGAGAAACAAACAAAAATCATCTATGTAAGTTTAGTTTAAATCTTTTAAACATATTGTATCATGGCAATTTATCAATTAGTATAATACATAGGGAACTGGTTTACCATACACAGTTGAATGTTAATCTTTTGTTTGTTTTTTGTTGATGTTTTTTAATGCTGATTTTGATTTGCTAGTCATCTAGTCATAGCAAATAACCAGCTTTTCCTGGTTAACCAGTAGTTACCAATTTCATAATAGGGTGAAACTACAACGTACCTTAGTTAATGTAAGCCTACTTTACATTAGCACTTGAAAGTGTTTATCATTAGTTTTCAGTGCTATTGCTATTGATTTTCTACCTCTATTTTACAGCCAAATACAGGCTGTTTTACCCTAGACCAAAATAGGTATATTTTCCCCTAAAAAAAAACCCTGTGCAGAATCAGCAGATTACTGAATTAATTTTATCATCTTGAAGGCAGAAAGCTGTCCATATCATAAATAGCCTCTGCTATGTACCATGCATGTTGAATTTAATTGAAATTGAATTTTTTATAAATTGTGTGTGTCAATTCCATTCTCAGATTTTTTACTTTTCTGATTTATCGCTATATTTTCCTCATCATAAAGCCACTGGACGTTTTGAAAATTGAATAAAAAATCAATGATTGAGGGCAATGTATGTGAAATATCCTGTAAAAAAATATAACTATAAGTTTAGGCATTCTCATTGGTGGAAACAGTAGGACAAAGACTAAATTAAGCGTAGATTCTATTTCATTTACTGTTTTTATGACATTTAATATACAGTAAGATTCAATATTAACTGACCACTGAACCCCACTCCTTCTCTCTGATGAACTTTAAGTCACTGGCCTTTGGTATAAAGTACTTTGAATGTGTGTCAGAAGTATACCACAGGTTAATCAAAGTAAAAGTAACAATTCATTATCACATGCAGCATTATTGAAAACTTAGGCCAGATGTCATCAACCTAGAGTCTTACAGATTCAGATGAATTTAAATAGACTATCCCTGATTTAGACAAACTTAAAATAATTGTTGAGACAATTTTGGTTTTTACTTCGCACCAGCACAGTATAGGTCATATTGCAACTTTCCAGCTTTACTGGTGGAGGTAGACCTCAGTTGCCCTTTGTTCCATGCATTATTTCAGGCAGGAGTCCTGGGAACCTGAGTAGAAACACCTACGTTTCATAAGCTAGCTGGATAGCATTTTCACATGAAATACTGCAAAGTCGTTGTCAAGGTTCGAACCCACAGCTATAAGGGGCAAGTAAGCTGAAGTTGACCTAAAGCACTTGGCCACAAATTATACAAGATGTTCTTTTATGAAGAGAAAAATCTTAACATTTTGAGACTGATCTGGGTCCAAGGCTATAAAAAAATCTTAATGAGCACAAACTCAGATCTCAAGTACATGTATTTGATTGATCAGAAACCAGCACAGAATGTATTTTAACCAATGGAAATCCTGAAATTCCAGATAGAACTAGGATGAAAGTTTTATAATTTTGAGGCTGGATCTCATTCTGTTTTGCATAACTAAGTGTATATAATGTGACTAGTATTATATTTTTAAGCATTTTAAACCATGCAAAATGTAATTATTTCACATTTTTTGTTGTTCTTAGAGCAAGCAATATGCGTAAAAAGTTCCAAAAGTTGAAGAGAAGAAACACTGATTCCTTACTAGGTGCTGCAATTTTAAGTGTGCGAGGCACAACAAAGATTTCCCATTCGAGTGCTGTTGAATGGGCAACCTCATTTGAAGCTCTTCTTTCTGATAAAAGTAAGTTTCTGTCATTCATTTGAATAAGAAAGCCATTTTACCTATCTACCTGCATGCCTGCCTAGTTGTTGCAGAGGAAACAAAGATAAATTTAAGGATGGACACCACATGTTTGGCATGTTACAACAGTTGTATGATTTATTTTAAATTCTACAGATCTTCATTTCATTTTAGTTTACCAAAAAAAAAGAAAAAAGAAAAAAACAGTTTTAGTTGTATTAACCATAACAAACGAATGTTTATATGTCATTATGGCAGACTTCCCGAAAGTTGAAAAAAACTGTCAGACATTCGGTCTGACAAACCATGAAAATCTGTCGGACCGAAACAAAATCTGTCGGACCAAATAAAATTGATTAAAATCAAAGAAAAACTTGTGTTTGTATTTCTAAGACACTTTTTGTTTTTTATTTTTTCGCCGTAAAAATCGGCACAATCCGTACAGCGCATTTTCATCTCCTCCCTGTCATACACCAAGGATTCATGGTTCTGCTTTCATTTTTCATTAAATTTTGTCTCAGGTCTAATATTTTCATCATTTTATTGCTTTTCTGTGCACTCTTCTGACGAAGATTTTCGGTTTTTCCAAGGTTTGGCACCTTTAGCGACGCCATTTTGTATACATGCAGCTTGAGTATACATGCGGCTTGGATAAAAGCCAGACAGTCGGACCGATCCGGAATAAAAAATTGTCGGACCTGATCAAAATTTATCGGACATGTCCGTCGGACCGACGTATTTCGGGGAAGTCTGTTATGGCATCAGATATTTCGTTAATAAACCAAAATTTTAATGATGTCAAGAATATTACTTCTACACTCAGTGTAGTTCAACTTACATTTTTGTATTTTTATCAATTATTTTTTTATTAGCATGTAAGATTGGAAATTGATATCAATTTTTCTTGCATTATAATCTGTCCCAGATTATAATATAATAATGCACGGTTATCAACTTATCATTCAAAAGCTTTGTAATTAATCACTCTGGCCTATCAGTCTTTATGATATATGTGTATTCCTGTGCATTTGAACTCAAACCATTCATTATTCTACAAGAATGTTATCAAAATTGATATCTTTTTCCTAAATAATAGCCACAAAGCAGTTAACTTGTATAATAATGTAAAAGCTGTATGTATGTTTATAAAAGGCATTTTATATTTCAGATGGTATAGAGATGTTCCGTCACTTCTTGAAGTCGGAATTCAGTGAAGAAAACATTGAATTTTGGGTAGCTTGTGAGGAATTCAAAACAGTTCGTACAAACAAGCTGGTCTCACGTGCACAGAAAATCTACAGTGATTTCATAGCAATCAAAGCACCAAAACAGGTAATTTTGAAGTTTGTATGCATGATATTTACATTGGTAGGATTCCACATTATCGCTCATCTGCAAAGTGCTCCTATTCAGACTGGTTTTTTTTCTCCAAAAATCAAAGTTCCAAAACAGGTAATTACCGGTAACTGTTTCGGGAGCGGTGGCCTAGTGGTTTAGGTGTCTGCCTCTCCCTCCAGGTATCATAGGTTCGAGCCCTTATCATGTTTCTTCATATAACACCAGTACTGGTTGGTTCCAGGAAGCGAGCTTGAAAGTGCTTAATTTGTGCCCAAAGTATTGACTAGGGTCATGACTGTTTCCTCACTGGCACCAATAAGTAGAGTGATACCAGTTTTCATTGAATGAATTTCCCTACATGATGCAAAATAAAAAGTTACCCTATAATATCATCATCACCATACATTGTGTATTTACTTATTTAAATACTTAAGTCTTGTCATAGATACACAACTGAAGTATAATGTACTTCATGCATTATTTTAATAGCAGTGAATATAAAAAACAAAAAAATCATAAAGTAAATGGAAAATATTTTGGTTTCGCAGAATGTGCTAAATAGTTTTATTGCACAAGACAATAACAGTGAAGAAATAATAAGTGAGTCAAATAGAAATGAAATTACATAAAAATAGTTTATTAAAAAAAAATCTAGAGAATCAAAAATTAACAAATTGTACAAAATTTTTATGATACTAAGGTGAGATGATATGTGAATCATTTGTTTTCAATTAGTGTGGGGGCAGCAATATATTCTATGTTTAAAAGGCTTGGTCAATTTATAAGAGTTCAAACAAAAGTACAACAAGCCTTGAATTGTCGGACAAAAAATGTTGTTTTTTCACTTAATTTTGCATAAATGGTAATGGTTATAAAAGAGTAATTTTTATGTAAATACACCTCATGCTTTGTTGAAGATAAGTACAATATATTACAATTGTTTACTATAGATATCTTATTTATATCTTAAGTGATGGTGTTGCAACGAAATAGTAGTGATTAAATAGACTCTGTATGTATTATCAGGGGTTTTTTGTGTTTTTTTTTTTTTTGGAAAATGTAGTTTTTTAAAAAAAAAATACTTTTTATATTTTCAGGTAAATTTGGATTCAAAGACTAGACTAGAAACAGTGACAAATTTGGAAAATCCAACACGAGATATGTTCCGAGAGGCCCAGAAACGTATACAATTCCTCATGGAAAACGACTCGTATAAACGTTTTATAGATTCAGACGCATATAAACATTTGATTCGTAGAAATTCCAGTTCTGGTGGAAGATGAAGAATCGGTTCAGAACGACTGCTTAAAGCTGCTTCCCTTTTTATTTTTTTTTAATTCTGGTGATGTCCAGAGTAATAAGCAAAATTACCCACTGCTTCAATAATCAAGGAAATCCTGTCAAACTATGATACTGTGTCTCACTGCCTGAAATCAAATAGTAACTAGCAAGTCATGTGTGTTCATGTCACATGACCTTTGTTCATGTCACATGACCTGTGTTCATGTCACATGACCTGTGTTCATGTCACATGACCTGTGTTCATGTCACATGACCTGTGTTCATGTCACATGACCTGTGTTCATGTCACATGACCTAAGGGAAGTGACATTATGCTCGTTTTCTTGTTTATAAGTTGAGTTGAATTAGTAATACATCATGTATATTTCAAAAGAAGCAATAATTACGGTGATTTAAACCAATAATTGATAAAGAAAATAATTTATGATATAATATAAAAAAAATACCTAAATTATATGGATTTTTGGTGTGTGTGTTTTTTTTTTATTGTAAAATATAAAATTGAACAAAATTATGGCAAAATGTCAAGCTTTCTTTACTTTTACCTGTTCACCGACCATTTACATATGAATGGGCATAATGTCACTTTAAAACAGTTCACAGCTTATACAAAACAAATTGTGTTTTCATTTTACAGTGAATCACTCGTAGATATTTCAATGATTCTGTAAGTAATATGTTTCCTAAAATTCATCAAATCATAATCCTATATTTCTTAATGTACCGGTAATGAAGAAATCAAAGATGATTGTCTAAAGGAAATAAAAATCTAATTATTTGGTTAAACCAATCAATAGACTGCCCTTAAAATTTGATGTATCTTAAAGTATCAATACTCATTATGGTAATTAAAACAAAATAGGTCAAGGTTTTTTCCTAGAAGAGGAAAAAGATAGATAATATTTTACTTGGAACAACCTGTAATGATTACTTAACATTTTTAGATACTTCAGTAACAAAACAAAATAACTGTTGAAAGTGTAATATAAAGTTGAGTAGATGACATTTAGTAAAAGGCCATATTGAGAAAAGCTCAGCCTGTTGGCATAGCAACTGATTTTTCCCATAATACCTTGCTGTATAATGTTGGCATAGCAACTGATGTTACCCATAATACCATGCTGTATAATCTTGGTCTGCATTTATATCCTGTTCAGTCTGTACTTGTTTTGAAATTTTCCCTAAAATTGATGAATGGTTTTGTCCAGATTAAAAGATGTTAAAGTCAATTTGAAATATATAGCTTAATAAGGCAATAAATTTTAGTACAATGCTCAAAATTTATGCAGAAATTTGTTTGAGATGTATTAGCTCAGGCCTTGAATGAATAAGGATTAAATATTTTAGAATTTTCCAATATTCATTTTTATATGCCAGAAAGAATTTCGGACATATTATGTTATACCCCCTGGCGTCCGTCCATCTGTTAGCAATTTGGTTTCCGGAGCATAACTTAAGTTCCATTTGGCCCACAACATTCAAACTTCATAGGATGATTGTCCATATTGGTTAGAAGACCCCTAATGATTTTGGGGTCACAAGGTCAAAGGTCAAGGTCACTATTACTTAGAAATTGAAAACAGTTTCTTGAGCATAACTTAAGTTCCATTTAGCCCACAATATTCAAACTTCATAGGATGATTGTCCATATTGGGTAGAAGACCCCTATTGATTTTGGGGTCACAAGGTCAAGGTCAATATTACGGTAAAACTGAAAACAGTTTTCGGAACATAACTTAAGTATCATTCGGCCTACTATGTTTAAACTTCATAGTATGATTGTCCATATTGGGTAGAAGACCACTAATGATTTTGGAGACACATGGTCAAAGGTCAGGGTCACTATTACCTTAGAATTGAAAACAGTTTCTGGGGCATAACTTAAGTTCCATTTTGACCACAATATTGAAACTTCAAAGGAGAATTGTTAACTGAAGGAGGTAATACTTTATTTAATTCCCATGTCTTACAAATACTTCATCTTTACTAAAAAAAAAGCACTTTCGGGCATATAATGCTCTGCCTAGCGGTGCTCTTGTTCTTATTAGAATATATTTTCAATTTTAATTTTGTTTTCATGGAGTTGGTTCTGATTCAACTTGTCTCTGTCTCTTACTTCCTGTCTGATATTATATGCGTATGAATATCATATTATATCAATAACCTAAGAAATTGACTGAATCTTAAAAGTTGAAGTGGAAAATTGATTACAGTTTTTTTTTATTACTTTTTATTTTATGTAGATTTGAGGGGGGGGGGGGGTCAACTGCAGGTCAACATAATCATAATTTACAGTGTTGAGTTGTGACACTAGGTATTCAGAATACTACATTGTCTATCATCCATCACAAACCCAGATAACAACTCCTGATTTCACCCTTCTTTATGCAGTCTCTCTCTCCCCACATAGGATCCCTCTGCTTTCCTTAATCTGTCAGAAATGAAAGGGAAATTTAACAAACTTGGCTGTCATCCCTAAAGTCTTCTGTATTCGAACATTAATCCATCCACTCAATGTGCTGTGGTAATTATTGTTGTGCAATATACAGGTATAAGTCAACTCATCATTTCCGACTCATCCTTTCCAGAAGTTGACTCATCATGTCCGACTCATCATTTCCGTTGTCTTAAATTAATTGCTCAGTTGGAGATGATGGCTTAATTAACAAGTTTCTAACAAATATGCGACCAACTGGACAGGTGTATGACTTATATAGTTAAAAAAGTATGATCTCCCACGTTAATATACGTCATGGACTGCCATTATTTGAAAATATGAGATGAAAACATGAGGAAAAGAAATTTTTTCATTTTCTTATTTTTCTCCAAATATTTGTATTTGAATATTCAGCATTGTTTCATTTTGTCAAATAAAATTCTCATTCCTTGTATTTGCCTTTGTCAAATCTTACATAAAACATGGGTTATGCATGCTGTATTGACCTTGATTGAAGATACATGTGAACTTAAATCAGTGCTTAAAGACCAGACCTTTTAGACCCTGTGTGTTTTTACTGGTTTTGTTGTACTTTTCATAGGATGGAGGAGAGCTACTGTGCTCACCCTGGCGTCAGCATCTCTAGTTTGGATCTGTTTTTGCTTGAAAGTTTGTATCTCAAAACTGCTGAATTGAATGGATTGAAACTTTACACACTTATTTGAGAGCATAATAGGGGTCACTGTTCAAGGCCCATAACTATAACTTGGATATATACAGAATTATGTCCCATTTGAACCTAGAAAATTGTACATTATCCAGGCACATGTTTTTCTATCAATTCTTGAGAATAGTCAATCATGCTGACATATAGATAGCTCGATTTGTTTCCTTGGTTATATAATGCTATATCAGAGTTATAGAGGAGTGTAGTCTTGTTTTGTCCAAATGTTTTTTACAAGAATATTCTAAGAAAATGATATTGCAATAAATACTGTTAATTGTTTCATCAATAAACTACCAGCAGTTTATTGCAGGTATATATCTATATTTCAGATATATTTGTGTCCTTGGATTAACAGACTTTCCCTTGTTTATGACTACATGTATATTTCTTCATTTTTGGAAAACAACCACCTTGTCACATGATTTCCTGTATTTCCAACTTTTAAACTGTGTATACAGAGCACTAACAGTTCAATTATACATATGAATGCGAGTACATGGATACATATGAATGCGAGTACATGGATTTTGTGCTCTTAACTTTCAACCAAAAAGAAGGCAAATTTTTTCTATTCATTCAGAAAATTTAATGCAAAATGCGGAATTCAGCAGAGCAAAGATGATCAAAATAAAAACATAAAATTAAATGATTGTTAATTTTTTTTTAATTCACATATTTTTGATTTATAAATGAATTGTACAGTAAAATTCTATCACAACTTGTTATAGTCAAGTTGTAGTTTTATGAGAGTTATTGAGCTGTGTCATGACAAAACCAACGTGATGCATTTGCCACCAGTATGGATCCAGATCAGCCTGATCAGGATTCATGCTGTTCGTTTACAAACCCTATTACAAGTAGAGAAACTGATAGGGAACAGCATGGATCCTGATCAGACTGCGCGGATGCGCAGGCTGGTCTGGATCCATGCTGGTCTCAAACCCTTTATGTTGGTTTTGTCATGACACAGCTCATTTTTTAGGGTACACAAATATAAACCATGTTTTTTTTAGAGTACATAAATAGGTACCATGTTTTTTAGAGTACACAAATACTGGTACCATGTTTTTTTTAGAGTACACAAATACTGGTACCATGTTTTTTAGAGTACACAAATACTGGTACCATGTTTTTTTAGCTCACCTGTCACAAAGTGACAGGGTGAGCTTTTGTGATCGCTTTTCGTCCGGCGTCCGTCCGTCCGGCGTCCGTCCGTAAACTTTTACTTTAAATGACATCTCCTCATAAACCACTAAGCCAATTTCATCCAAACTTCACAGGAATGTTCCTTTGGTGGTCACCTTTAAAAATTGTTCAAAGAATTTAATTCCATGCAGAATTCTGGTTGCCATGGCAACCGAAAGAAAAAACTTTAAATATCTTCTTTTAAAAAACCATAAGAGCTAGAGCTTAGATATTTGGCATGAAACATCTTCTAGTGAGTGTCTACCAAGTTTGTTCAAATAAAAAGCCCTGGGGTCAAAATTGGCCCCGCTCCAGGGGGTCATTGATTTTCCCTATATGCATATAGTAAAAACTTAAAAAATCTTCTTTTAAAGAACCAAAAGAGTTAGAGCTAAGATATTTAGCATGAAACATGTTCTAATAAGTGTCTACCAAGTTTGTTCAAATAAAAGCCCTGGGGTCAAAATTGGCCCCGCCCCAGGGGGTCATTGATTTTCCCTATATGCATATAGTAAAAACTTAAAAAAAATTCTTTTAAAGAACCCAAAGAGCTAGAGCTAAGATATTTAGCATCAAACATGTTCTAATGGATGTCTACCAAGTTTGTTCAAATAAAAGCCCTGGGGTCAAAATTGGCCCTGCCCCGGGGGGTCATTGATTTTCCCTATATGCATATAGTAAAAACTTAAAAAATCTTCTTTTAAAGAACTCAAAGAGCTATGGCTAAGATATTGAGCATCAAACATGTTCTAATAGTTGTCTACCAAGTTTGTTCAAATAAAAGCCCTGGGGTCAAAATTGGCCCCGCCCCAGGGGGTCATTGATTTTCCCTACATGCATATAGTAAAAACTTAAAAAATCTTCTTTTAAAGAACCAAAAGAGTTAGAGCTAAGATATTTAGCATGAAACATGTTCTAATAAGTGTCTACCAAGTTTGTTCAAATAAAAGCCCTGGGGTCAAAATTGGCCCAGCCCCGGGGGGTCATTGATTTTCCCTATATGCATATGGGGGGGTTGGGGGGCCTATATACAGGTGAGCGACCTCATGATGGCCCTCTTGTTTAGAGTACACAAATACTGGTACCATGTTTTTTTTAGAGTACACAAATACTGGTACCATGTTTTTTAGAGTACACAAATACTGGTACCATTTTTTATTTTAGAGTACACAAATACTGGTACCATGTTTTTTTTAGAGTACACAAATACTGGTACCATGTTTTTTAGAGTACACAAATACTGGTACCATTTTTTTTTTAGAGTACACAAATACTGGTACCATGTTTTTTAGAGTACACAAATACTGGTACCATGTTTTTTAGAGTACACAAATACTGGTACCATTTTTATGCCACCGCAGCATCTGCGATGCGGTGGCATATAGTGATTCACCTGTGTGTTTGTGTGTGTGTGTGTGTGTGTGTTATATAGATTATATAGTGAACTTAAAAAATCTTCTTGTGAAAAACCACTAGTCCAATTTCAACCAAACTTGGCAGGATTGATCCTTGGGTGAAGGGCTTCCAAAGTTGTTCAAGGAATTTCATTCCATACAGAAATCTGGTTGCCATGGTAACCAAAAGGAATTATAAGAATAAATTTAAAAAATCTTCTTGTAAAGACCCAAAAGGCCTAGAGCTTAGATATTTTGCATAAGGCATTGTCTGGTAGACCTCTACCAAGATTGTTCAAATTATAGCCCTGGGGTCAAAATCGGTCCCGCCCCGGGGGTCATTGATTTTCACTATATGTACATATAGCAAAACCTTAAATACCTTCTTGTAAAGACCCAAAAGGCCTAGAGCTTAGATATTTTGCATAAGGCATTGTCTGGTAGACCCTTACCAAGATTGTTCAAAATTATAGACCGGGGGTCAAAATCGGCCCCGCCCCGGGGGTCATTGATTTCACTATATGTGCATATAGCAAAAACTTAAAATACCTTCTTGTAAAGACCCAAAAGGCCTAGAGCTTAGATATTTTGCATAAGGCATTGTCTGGTAGACCTCTACCCAGATTATTCAAAAATTATAGCCCTGGGATCAGAATCGGCCCCGCCCAGGGGTCATTGGTTTTCCTTATATGTATATAGTAAAAACTTATACATGTGTAAGTAAAACTTTTAAAAAATTCTTCTAGTAATTGAACAAATGCTAGAGATTAGATATTTTGCATGAAACATTATGTAGTGAACTTCTTAGCAAGATTGTTTTTAAATTATAAGCCCTTGGGTTCAAAATTGCCTTTGCCCCAGGGGGTCATTGATTTTCAATATATATATATATATATATATACAGTTGACTCTCGGTAAACTCGAAATCCAAGGGCCTGGGCATTTAACTTCGAGAGAAAACGGAATTCGAGTAACGTGGGAACTACCACCATTACATGTATATACATGTGCCTGATTGAATATGCAAAGGAGTAGGTTTGTTATTGTTGTTAGCGGCAATGCTGCAATTATTTAACCATTGAAATGACGGTAAATCAACTTACAACTGCAAATTATAATGAACAAAAATATTATCATTTCAAAATTAAATACATGTTATATTAATAGTGAAACAGAAACACACAATTACATTTGATTTAATTCATCATCGGACGAAAACGAAATTAGCAACTATCGTGAAACCGGAAGTACAAATATGACAGATAAT